CTTCAGATGCAAGAATGCATCTGAAGAAGTGAGGTTCTTACCCATGAAAGCTTATGCTCCCAATACTTCTGTTAGTCTCAAAGGTGCCACAGGACCCTCTGTTGCTTCTTACAAACTTAGATGCTTCTCACCACAGGCTGGCTCTTCAGCCAGGCTCTCTCCTTTGATCAGCGGTTCAGTTGCTTGGTGGTGGTGATGGTGTCTGTAGATGTAGGTGGAAGAGAGAGAGCATGGATAATTTATGTCTCTCACTTTTATCATGTCCTTTCTTTCCTCTTGGCTTTGTCCCCCCGCCCCTGAGAGTCAGGTGAGCATTACCTCATCACAGTCCTAAACTGCCCAAAGGAAGGGGGTGACTCCCTCAAGGGTCTAACAGATTCTTTGGTGCTGCGTAAGCCAGTGTCCATTGTTCCTGTGAGGCTGGGCTGGGTTTGTCTCATCCATGCACTGATGAGGTGTGAATTGGCTCTCTGTTCTTGGAGAGTTTCTGCATGGGCTTGCTTTAAGCCATGAGGATACATTTTCAGCCTCGTTACTATATACATGAAATTATAACCTCTAATCTCACTATAACATGACTTTAACAATTACCATAACCTCACTATAACAACTATGCTCAGTGCATTATGAGCCTTCTGAAGATACCCAACATGACAAATTTTACATTGGATACCACACAATCATTTTATAAAGACGAACATGGGGGTGTAGGGTGTTCCCCCGAGGTACAGCGTGTCACGGGGGCTTCTCCCTGCCCCCCGCCCACCTGCTGCTTGTCTCCCCATTCACCTCCTCACCCCGCCTTCTGCTTGCCTCCCCATTCACCTTCTCTCGCCTCCCACCTCACCTTCCTACCTTCCTCCAAAAGCATGGAGCCTGGGCCTGTTGTCCCGATTTGCCGTACCCAAGGGATGGCTCTGGTCTTGTGTTTTGCATTTTTGCTGTTGTTCTAGAAATGCTTCCTCCTCCTCTTCCTGATTTGGTGGTCTATAGTAAACTCATAACATAACATCACCCATATTTTTTGCCCCTTTTATCTTTACCAGAGACTCAACTGGTCTGCCTCTCACCTCCTTCTAGACAATGTGCATTTTTCAGTTAGATTTTCATTGATAAAAATCTTCACTTTTTGAGGAGTTTTGCCAAACTTGTTTAATATAACTGCTATTCTCATTCCTTAACAAATCCATCAGAGAACCTGTGTGAGCTCAACATTATTCTCTGAGGATAATGGAGAGTATTCTTGGAGTCAGTAGTAAAATTAGTTTTTTTTTTTTTTTTTTTTTTTGTTATATTTAAGGATCCAGTGTACTCAAGAGACATTTAAGACCGCACACATTGGTTTCTCTAGTCATTCTGTGATCCAGTCTAAGGGGATATTCAGGCTGGTTGTGACCTTTGAAAGCTCAAACCTTCTTCAGTATACGCATTGTAAAGTATACCTATTTTTCAAATTACTTCTACATTATTGGTCTTAATTCTTTTTAGTTCAGTGCATACGAGGAACAAAGCCAGGTTTTCTAATTAAGTTGGGGAGGGGATGGGTCATTGGTGGTAATTTTTCAATTGAGAAATATGCTTGAAAAGGCACCATACATACATTTAAAGAGTGTTTGGAGGATGACCGCCCCGTCCTGTCTTTTGGGTTCTGCCACTGCTTCTTGATCATGTCTTAAATATCCTGCATGATATTCAAGGTACTTCTTTCAAGCAATGACAAAAGCCAGTACTTTGAAGAAATATATTTAATTTACTTTTCTATAGGTAGAAAAAAATAATCAATTTATTCTCACTGGATAGTTCTTGTGATATTCTAAACAACTGGTAGCTTCTTGAAGTTGTTACAAGGTAATGAACCAGGATTATTTGTATTACTTTGCAGATGAGTCTTAGTGTATAATTGAATAAATCATCATTACAGCGAAGGAAGTCAAGTATTAGTGAAAACCCAAAGGGAAATGGAGCCCTTGAGAAGAGTATTAAGAAACTGCTTACAGCTCTTTAGCTCTCATAAGCTGATAAGCTTTTTTGGAATTGATTATATTTTAAATATTACATTGGATTATTATAGTCCTATTAAATAGCTTTAGTATCATGGTTGTTACGAGAACTAAAACCAGAGATTTTTGTGACCCAGTTAAAATGATTAGTGTTATAAAATACTGACTTAGCATCTACAGAAGTAAGAATGTACAATATATCCCCAGAAGGAATCAGCTAATAACATTTCATAATTTTATTTAATTAGTATAACATTAGTAGCGTCTGTTAGTAAGTGGCAGGGGCTAGATGAATCCCAAAACTTCGCCCTGCAAAGCTAGTATTTTTGAGAATATGTGGCTCCAGCTACTCCTCCTCCTTCCAACAGTGCAATATGGGCTAAATCCCTCCCCAAAGTTTTGTCATGTGGAGTGGCCTTTTAAAAAGGCTCCAGGAAGGATGATTTTGTCAGCTGGGCCTGCCAGGATCACCAAGAGGTAGGAAATGGAGGTAGCCAAGACCCCTCTGCTCCTAATCTTCCATGGAGCCAGGAATTTGGTGTCACATAGCTTCACCACCCCATCTACTTCCAGCAGCACCAGCAGGTTTCCCTTTACTGTCTCAGGAATCCTAAGGATGTCTGCAATTTTGAACCTCAGTGCACTGTTTGTGGAGCTGGACAATTGCCTCTTTCATGGGGGACGAGTGAGAAAATGGGAAAATGAATAGAGGGTTAGGTATGGGCAGGCCCTGGCAGTACCATTACAGTCCTGGACAACATGACCTTAGAGCATATACACCATAATTGTTCATTGACGTTTCTGTCCTATTGAAGCTCACACTGGCAAGGACCCACCCCTGCACTGGGCAGCAACAAAGAGAGTGCTAGAAACCCTTGTGTTGGCTAGGCATACAGCAGGAATGGGCTTTTTCTTTTTTCAGGGAAGGAGTTTATTGTTTGAGAGAGCAATAAGGACAGTTTATACTTTTCTATGTTAAAAAAAAATGATGATGCTGCATAGGGAAGTATTTGGGTATATGTTCTATATAGAGGGGAGAAATATAAAAATAATTGGAAGTGAGCCACGGATTTGTTTTTTCAGGGAAGGTTGGAAAGGAGGTGAATGTTAAGGCAGCACAGGAGTTTGTTTGATAAGGTATTTTAAAAACTTTCAAACTTTCAAAGTTGATTCAGAACCATTAAACTATACACATGTTTGACCTAATGTTTTCAAATTAAGGGATGTGGAGCACTTCACAAGTACTTTATGGCAAGTTGACTAGTCATACGATGTTGACTTTCCTCCTTTCTAGTTGCAAAATTTCATTTATACAATTAAAATATATGAAATCCTTTTCTAATATCTATGTATATAATTTATGTAGTTGCAGTCCTGAGTAGAAATGGTCTTTGCAATTGTGAATGAATGAAGATATGGTCTATGAAAGAATTGTAATGTCTACGCTATGAAAATATTTGAAAATGCTAGCTTCTATCACCTCACTTCTTTGTTAATGTTAGTTATCCTCTCTCACCCATTTCTTCTTATTTTTTTTACTTGTTTAGCCTTGTCTTAAATTAGACGGTAAGCAATTTGGGACATGGACTAGCTCTACTGATGTTTGTACAGCATCAAGCCCAGTGAAGCTATAATCTAGTTGGGATCTCTAGGTCCTGCCATAATACAAATAATAAATAGTGGTACTAAACAGAAAAATTGAAATTTCTTTGAGTTAATAATAGATTTGTACAATCATTACCTTTTCCTTTCTGGATCCCAAGTCCACAGCTGTTTCTAATATACTTTGCTAATAATAAGGCCAAATGGATGACTGATCTGCATAGGATAGCTTACAATAGGTTTCTTGTTTTCAGTAGTTACTTACAGAATTGAAGTCCATCATTTGAGTGTCTTTGCTTTGAGAGAGTCTTGGAATGATCAAGTATTGACATCTCAGCATGTTGTTGTGCCGGTAACTCACCCTTCCAGATTTCGTGAGGGTTGTAGTGTATTTGATTTATAAATAGCATAAAAATTACTGTTTGGCTGTAAGGAATTCATTTTTAGTCTATGCTCTGTGTATGAGTAACGACCTCTTGATGTAATTGGAAAGTGTCTACTTCATTTTGGGCACTAACAAAAAAAAAAATCACAAATTATGGTGTATAAATAATATTCTTCATTCAATCAGCAGTTTGTCTGATAGTTTTCATTTGCAGGTTTCATGCTTTTTAAGAGGTTATATTCTCACAGTGCATGTCCTTAATTCCTACTAGCATTAATTGGAGTTAAACATTTGCATTGAAAACCTCTCCCTTAAGTCTTCTGTAATACTACTAAGAAAATGTAATCAGACAGTAAATGGTTGTGAATGTGTAATTAAAGTACAGCCAATTTCAGCATGTGAATTAGTTTCATATTAAACAACAAGTCTTGATTTATGCAGTGAACTTACTAATATTGTCCTGGCAAGGGGGTGCTAAAAAGTATGTTAAAATATGGAGAAAGCCAGAGCATTGAAATATTTTAAAAGTTGCAACCAGAATCACTGTATTCCAACTACTACTATAGTGAGACCTTTGTGATGAGCATCTACCAATTAGTAGTAATGGTATTCCTCCACCTTTTCCCTTAATCCTCATGCTTGTTTATACTTCTAAAATTGAATGAATTTAGTTTGTAATGTTGGTATGTCTCCACTTATGTCTCTGTACTTGGTATGGTATACTTAGCTCTGAGTCTTCCTTGCCACCCTCAAGAAAGAGCTCCCAAGTTACCTGCTCTTTCCTGAAGAGAATTAAAAGGGAGTGCATGAGGTCCTCAACTAATGGTTAATCTGGTCTCCTGTTAGTGATTGATTTATCAGTGTCACTGGTCCTATTATTATTATTATTTTTTTTTTTTTAATTAAAAGAAGCTGCCAAATCATATTCAGCTCATGTACATGAAAACTTGTGTTCCTATTACTGCTACTCTTTCCTCATTCTTTCCCTATGTTGTGTTCACTCCTTACCATCCTGTTGCATTCTGGTACTTGATTCCTTGAGGTGCTGAGCACTCTGGCCCAGATCCAGAAAGGCACTTACCCATGTAAGTAGTCACCACAGAAGTCAGTGGGACTTCTCAAGAGTTTAAAGTTAAGCATGTGCTTAAGTGCTTTTCTGGATTGTTGCCAGAGTACTTAGTACCTCATAGGATTAAGCTCTTTGGGGCAAGAGCTGCCATTTATTTTGTTTGTACATTCCCCAGCTCATTAAGGTAACCAATTCACCTCTAGACTTTGCACTTCCAGTCTCCTAACACAGTGGTTCTCAACCAGGGGTAAATGTACTTCCGGGGGTACGTCAACTCATGTCGATATTTGCCTAGTTTTACAACAAGCTACATAAAAAGCACTAGCAAAGGCAATACAAAATAAAATTTCATATAGACGATGACATGTTTATGCTGCTCTATGTACTATACAGTGAAAGGTAAGTACAATATTTATATTCCAATTGATTTATTTTAGAATTATATTGTAAAAATGAGAAAATTTTTCAGTAATAGTGTGCTATGACACTTCTGTATTTTTGTGTCTAATTTTGTAAGCAAATAGTTTTTAAGTGAGGTGAAATGTGGGGGTGCGCAAGACAAATCAGACTCTTGAAAGGGGTACAATAGTCTGGAAAAGTGCATACTTCAGCAGGAAATTGGGTTGTGGAAGTTATCTGGAAATTTGCATTTGACTGTACGGATAGCTCTGAGTACTATCTCCGTAGCAATATGTCAGCAGCAGTTAGCACTGCTGTTATGGTAAAACAGTGGTAGTCACTTTTGGTTTTAAATGTGTCATTTATTTTTTACAGACTTCCAGTGGGTCCAAGGAGATGTATGTGAAGTTCAGCTGATGGTGTACAATCCTATGCCTTTTGAACTCAGAGTAGAAAACATGGTATGCATCTTTCCAAATTGTTCTTTTATCATTTTGTGACAATATTTTTTTTCAATTCTGCACCGTTCAATTTTCCAGTATTGTTTTTTATGTAAAGCAAACAGTTAAAACTGTATTAAACCGATAGAGAATTTCTCTGTCATATAACATCTTCTCACCTTCTGTACTAGACAACTGATACTAGAAATAAGGTGTACATTTTAAACAGTGAGTAATTAACCATTGGAACGATTTACCAAGAGTCGTGGTGGATTCTCCTTCACTGACCATTTTTAAATCAAGATTGGATTTCTTTTAAAAGATATGCTCTAGGAATTATTTTGGGGAAGTTCTTTGGCTTGTGCTTTACAGGAGGTTGAACTAGATGATCACAATGGTTTTAGAATCTATGAATTATTATGACAGTGAAATGAAATTCTTTGCCATTCAGAGTGCATGGATGCTTTACAATTACCGATGTACAATAACCTGGACTGAATAAACCAGACCCTGAACTCATAGGCTAAGCATAATCTTAGCCCAGGGAATGATTGTCAGAATTATCAGGGCACATCCTCAGCTTGCTATGCTGCTGTGTACTCTACCTCTTCTCATCTCTGTCCTGATTTCAAACTGGCCTAAGAATTCCCCATCCACATGACCACAATGAACAAGGCTTCCTCAACTTTTGACACCCTCCCTAGCTTGATAAGAGATTAACCCCCGCCACACACATCTAAGGTACAAAGAGTGGAAGAAACGCAGGGGAAGAAGCCACAGATGGTGAAGAGGAGGAGGGACTATAGTAACTCCTCACTTAAAGTCCTAGTTATGTTGTTGAAAAATGCAACCTTAAGCAAATCCAGTTTCCCCATAAGAATTAATGTAAATAGGGGCTTTAGGTTTGAGGGAAATTTTTTCGCCAGACAAAAGACATTATTTATATAATATACACACAGTGTAAGTTTTAAATAATTGTAAACAGTTTAATACTGTACTCAACAATGATTGATTGTGAAGCTTGGTTGAGGCAGGGGCATAGCGGGGTCGGGGTGCAGGGGCTTTCCCCTCTTTGTCTGCTGGGCGTTTCAGTGGGGGAGTGGGGTCGGGATGTGGGGGCTTGCCCCATTCTGCCTGCCCGGTGCTTTAGCCGGGGAGCGGGGTCGGGGCGCAGGGGCTTGCCCTGTTTTGCCCGCTTGCCTGGTGCTCCCCGGCAGGAACACTGGACTGGGGGAACCAAACAGCATTATAAGGGAACGTTGCAGGACTTTAAAGGAGTATGTTCTCTAATAGATCAGCGACTTAATAACTGCGATGATGTTAAATGAGGAGTTACCGTATTTAAAAATTTCATCCGAGGATCTCAAGGACTCCACTTGACAAACCGATATTATCTAGATTGTGAGCAATTTGGAGTACACAATGTCCTTTTGTTGTTGTGTTCAGTGCCTAGCCCAATGATACGTGATTGAGGCCCCAGGCACTACTGCAATACATATTAATAATAATAATATTATAAACCACAGTACATATAATCGATTAACAAAGGCTAATTTTGAAATAAATTAAGGTTGGGTAAGTGTCCCATCCCCTATCAGAAACTCTTACAAGCAAGAAAATGCAAAGTTCTGGGATATTCATTTCTTTCATTTTCCAAATTACAAAAAGAAAAAAATTAGGTTGAAAAATAATGTTGACATTGAAGTAACCCTGCTTTGCCCTTTCTTGTTACATCTTTTCTGTATATTTTCATTAATTGTTTTTCTTGTTTGTTTTTACCTATCCAAAAGCCTAAAGTCAGCTTTGTAGACTTGCATAAGTTTTGTCTTTATCTTGTCTCCATGTATTTGGATTGCTCATGTGCCATTCACGCAGAAGGAGAGTTATTGTCTATGCATGATATGAAAAGTAATTGCTGTGCTTGTTCAGAAGCTAATGATTTTTATAGCTTTCGCCCACATAATACCAAAAGGCAGATTTATCCGTGGTGTTCTGATTTATTTTGTTGTTACATATTCACCTCCACCAAACTTTTTAACCTGAGAAACATCAAGTTATTAAATGCTGAGGAGCTGTGATTTTTAATATAAACTTCAACTGCTAGCTCCAGTCTCCCACAGGACTTATATTACTAGTTGTATCATTGTAAAGCTGTATTTCTTTTCTTAACTTTTTGTTTTTTTCTGATCATTACAGTCATCTAGTATTTCACTGTGTCCACTGAAGTGGCTAGTAAGATGATGATATACGCAACCATATGACATGGCATAGCATAATTATTAAAACATCTTTCCAGCCACTAGAGGTCACATTTTTTTAATATAATAAAAGTCATACTGATAGCTGGCCATGCTAGCTGCTTTAACAGGATTCTATCTACACACACAAACATAAAAGGGAAGATGAGTCCAAATTACGTTGACTCAATTTTTTTATTTAATTCTATTTCATAAAATGATTGTATATCTTTAGGAACCCTTTCAACTAAAAACCTGGTTTACAGTCTATATAATTAATGTGCAACTTGTTCATGACATGACAAAATCTTTGGATCTGATTACTTGTTAATAGAACTGTTTAATCAGGGTAAACATACTTGCACAGATAGTTGTGAACTATGAATGTACGTTTACTTGTATAGATGCTTCTAATCAGTACTTACGTACTATGCACACACTAATTGTAGTAATGTTTGCTACTGTAGATACAGTTATTAGTGTCTGTAGCCTTTTATTTTATTTAAAGTAAATTTTGTAATATGGTATTATACTACTGTGGGTTCAGCTCTGGTGGCTACAATTTCAAACTTAACAGAGTGAAAGCCACCTTCATTGCTTACTTTAGATTTAGAGTCTTTAGGAACACATAAAGGTCAAGGATAGTGACCACACATGTTCACAAGTACAAGGTCTATCTGTTTTACAAGTTTTATTAAAGTTACAATCAGTTATGATTATCCAAGCATAAAGAAATTCTGTACAGACCTATGCACAAGTTACAAATATAGTTATACTCACATCCTTAACAATAGTGTTAGGGTTAGATGGGTCTCTCTTGGATTGATCATAAATAGAGGGATGGTTTTTCCTGGAGTTTAGGGAGCTCAATTTTCCCACTCTGGGCACCTTCTTTTATAATGTAGTTCTGATTATACCTCATTAGCATTTCTGCACATAATCCACTTTGCGGTTAGGGCATGTGTTAGAAAAATGTGATTACCCAGGTATCTTGTAAGCAAAAAATTACGTTTCCTATTAATTTTTCACAATATCACTCATTGGTACATCTTTCCCCATAATCTTAGGGCATTGGGTTATTCTTTGGTCGCTTACTTGCATCAGCATTTCTTATCTCCAAGGCCTAAAATAGCTAAGCTAAAACCTTACAGGCCTCAGCCTGTAGGCCTTGCATTTCAGCCCTACTTACTTAGGATAATTATGCATTAGATAGCTTTCTAACTATGATCAATTTTATAGTTCTATAATCCTACAATTTAACTCTATTTAACATACGATTATATTTGACATATGTTAATCATAACCACAAAATAAATGAGCAACAAACTAAAATCATTGGCTACACATCATAAAAAATCATTATTTGTTGAAATCCTTTTGGGTTTCATTTTTATTGTCATCCCTGAGGAAAGCAGACATTCAAATCACAGAAGTTCATGACTTCAGTTATTTTTAATTCCGTAGTCAGTGTTCTAAAAATATATATAGTGCTTTATTGAGGGATACTGTTGTGAATTTCTGTAGTCTTATCAGTACAAAATAAATTTTGATTCAGTTGCTCAAATGTGCTCTGGTATTGTACATGCATTTTTGTGATCCAAAAGTTTGCATATTATGACAAGAATCAAATATACATTTCTTTGTCTTGCTATTTGATAAACTAAAAGTTTATGGTTTAATATAAATTTTATGCTTTTCGGTTTATTAATATATGTATTTGGGTGGTAATCTACAGTTCACCTGACTCCTTCCCATCCATCTTAGTCTGATTTGACACCTGATTCTCCTTCTCATAACAATCATTCTCTCACCTTCATCCTGGCCAACTGCTGTATTGATGTGCTGTCTAGTGCTTAGCCTCCCTCCTTGTTTGACCTTAAACTCTGAATCAACACTTCCACTTATTAAAAGGGCCACTCATTCAACCTTGTTTTCACTAAATGCTACTCATTCTCTGACGTTTCATTTGCCTTTCCCTTTTTCTCACAATCACTTTATCTCTTCAGTATTACCCACCTGTTCCCCTTCCGTTAGCCTTCAATCCCATCAGTGTGCATGATTTCTCTTCTCCTTTCCCACCCACTCCTGTGCTGTCGTCACATATTCTTTTAAATCCTTCTGTTCCTCATTTCCTAACAGCCTAGAACTTGGGATCCTGCTGGGCTTTGTCTTTCACCTGGTCTTCTTGCTCCTACATCCTTTCCCTTATCCCTGCCACCTTTAATCTGATAATACATAAATGTGCCTCCACTCCTGACCTGATTCCACCCATCCAATCTTGCATCTTTGTCTGTTTCTCTAACATATCCTCAAGGATGTGTTTGCTTTCAGCTTAATATGTCTGAAAGCCTAGAAGCTAGACAAATTCAGAATAGAAATAAGGCATGGGTTTTTAACAGGGAGGGTAATTAAACACTGGGACTACATACCTAGGAATATAGTGGAGTCTCAATCACTTAAGACTGCATATATTTGTAAAAGAGAGAGCTTCTGTTTGAGCTATGGCATATGGGCTTGATACAGAAATTAACGGGTAAGGTTCTATGGCTTGTGTTATTCAGGAGGTCCGACCTGGTGGTCATAATGGTTCTTCTCGGTTAAGAAATCTATGAATCTATGAAATTTGAACTGCTTAGAAATCCCAAGACCTCTTTGCTTCCCACCTTCTCTGTTCCTGCTGATAGCAATGCTATCTTCTGTCACTCAGCCACACAATTTGGGTTCCTCTTCTCTTTCCCCACACTTCCAGGTCATGTCTAAATCTTGTTCTGGAACACCTCTAAG